CTGCAAAGTTCAGGGTTCCCAGGGCATCCCCTCCAGTTGTATCATCATCATCAGACAAGGAGGGGTGGCCTGTGTGGGAGTAAATACGAGCTAAAATAGCAGCATTGGAGCAGCGGAAGGCTAGCCAAGCACATAAGGGGGCTAAGGACAATCAGCCTAGGTGCTCAGTCCAAGGCACACAAGCGTACTAAACTGAAAGCCCTTTCTGATAATCTTTTGTCCTGTTTTGCTGCTTTAGAGACTAGTGTGCAAGGTGCGTTGGGAGTTGGAGATTCATCAAGGGAACTCCAGCCAGCAGAATTGATTGACCAGGTCGAGAGCAAAGCTGAAGTTAACTAAAACACACAAATGTTGACTTTGATGGATGGCCAGATCAGACCTTGGGACATTATTGTTAGGAAGAATGAATATAGTGGTGCACGCTGAAGTCACCAATAAATGAATATATTATCTTTAGTAAAATATAAAAAATTCTCAGATCTTGCCTTGATCAGCTACTGGGAATCTGCATGTTTTGGGGCGTGGTGGTAATTCTATACAGATATTTCTGAATATGAATAGATTATTGATAGAAATAAGTTCACACTAAATTCTTACCAGTCCTTATACTCACGTGTCAGATATATAGAACTCTTTATGGCTTAATTCAAGCAGGACATAAATACTTTCCTGCTAACTTGACAATACATATTTCAAAACCAGGCTTGGAAAATTACTCTGTGAACATGACATATCTTTAAGTAAGTCCTGGCACTTGTGGATAGTGATACCACAGCTCTCAAACATTTGGAGAGTGATTACAGCTCAATGACTAAAGGAGGCTGAATTTATGTTTCACAGTCTGTGATTTATACAACCTCCCACATGCAAGAAAGCTGTGGCTTTTCATCAGGGATGACATTCTCAGTTGTTTTACAGTTGTTTAGCACATGAGGTGGTATTTGGTTTGGAACAGGAGAAGATGGAACCTCTGCAGCAGGCTGTGACTGAATGAGCGAGTAGGGTTAAATGACTGTAGAAGAATCTCATGTATGTTTTGAAATCTCTCATTATGTATTTATGTGGGCTCACAATTCCAAGCATGTGTGGTTGGACATAATAAGATTTAAGAATACTTTGGCTGCCACATTTGCAAAAGCCATTTAACTAATATGGCAAAAGGCATACAATGAGCAGAGGGTCTCTTATGGAATCCAATAACTAATTCTTGGGCAATGTGCTTCTAATGGGCAATTTGTCTCTTCTGATGAGCTAAAGGGAAGGGAAAGGAATCATTTCAAATCGCTAGTCCTCAGCCTCATTATAAAGCTACCTGCTGTAAGGCTTTCACCGAGGCTGACGTATTCCTTTTAAAATACAGGCTTTAAACAGGGGTAGACCCATTATGAACACTTTACAAGGACCAAAAATGAAAATGCCTCTTGCCTCCGTGCTCCATATAGATTAATCATGCACCATAGCAGAATCTTATGTGACGAAGGGGCGCTTGTAATTCACAGGTCAAGCCCTACATCGATTTTTGAGAATACATCAGAGAACCTTCCATGCAGGGTGCCTTTTCTTGGGGGTTTGTCCAATACATAAACATGACATCAATGCCAGCAAATCAATTCATTACTTCATGACTAGGCTAAAAAGTAATCAACACCACATCTACGTACATTCACTAGCAGTGACCACTATTCATAATTTCTTTGTTACATTGCTTATGGAAATGTGTTAAGGGTTTATCCAAATCACGGCAGTTTCATTTAGTGACTCATTCCCTCCCTTGTCTCTCTTTATAACTAATGAGAACATTTTTATTTCCTTTAGTTCAAACAGGGAAAGTAGAGCTGATACACAGAATGAGAATTTTCAATCCTGTATTAACTGATTTTATATCCCCATTCCTCCCCCACTTCAGCCTGAGTTGCTGTGTTCACTCATTATATTTCCTTCAGGAAACAGGCTTGCTATCAGAATCTACACCAGGAGTTGGGAACATATGGCCCTCCATTTGTTTTTTAAGTACAACTCCCATGAGTCCCATCCATAGCTGGCATACCCAATAATATGGGATCATTGGAATTGTGATCCAAAAAACTGTTGCAGAATTTTGAATTTCTAGCAAAATTCCTTTTGCTATGCCATAGAAGTACAGAGATCTACAGGGAAGAATAGCTACAAGTTCTCCAGAGTCCACCCCTTTCTTATTAATTGGTACTTACAGTACCTCTTCTTCAAACAAATCACAGGCAATATGTGAGACTACGAATAAAACTCCAATGAAAACATCTGGAGGGACACACATTTATCATTTACAAAATGAGTGAAGATAAGTAGCTGACTTAAGAGCTCTATGCAGGAAACAATCCACCTGTCCAAAGTACAAACTTTGTTGTCCCCAGAACCCACAGTGGTTGTTTCAGCTCAAGGGAAGTGACTTTCTAAAAGCCTTGCAGCTGCCACCTGCCAGCAAATTCTTAAAGCCTATTAAATATTTTTGTTTGGACTTACAGTGCCTGGAAGAAATGTCACCAAGGCATAAGGGTGTGTTGAATTAACAACAGTGTGTGTGTGTGTGTGTGTGTGTGTGTGTGTGTGTGTGTGTGTGTGTGTGTGTGTGTGTGTGTGTGTGTGTTGTGTGTGTGTGTGCGTGTGTGTGTGTGAAACTATGGCAAGTTTAAATTGGTCCACAGCACTACTAAAAATACAAAATTCGGTAATATATTTTTAATGTTATTTTAAAATTAATTTGCATTTATCTGCCCTTCATAATCTGACACTATAGACTGCAGTTTAGCTTGTGCCTAACTGCAACACTAGAAAGTAATCCAACAAAGTCTTCTGGCTGAATCCATGTAGGCATATTATTCAGAAAACTCCGTAACCAGTATCCTACTGCTTTTTACTGTGTTTGATGCCATCATAGGTAGCTGCAGCTAATTGACAAAGTACTAGTTGAGTGCTGGCCACATACCAGTCATGCAGGCATGCAACCAACATGTGGTTGGCACCCTAACATTGAGCTATGGTGGCTTCCTCAATTTCTCAATTGCGTGAGGAAAAAACTAACTAGCTTCTGGTCAAGGTGTTGCATCCAGAATAAGTCGCACTTTCAGTAGGGACACTTTCAGTGTCCCCACTGGAGGTCAGTGGAACAGGACTGAAGACAGTGAGGCTAAAGTATCAGTAGCTTAGGGTTGCTAAGACTGGTTGCTCTCTCAATACTGAATCAGATAAGGAGGCGGGGCAGGGAAGTCTGCAGTGCTGCCTTTGAGTGGGCAATCACCCAGAGGAGGTGGGGAGGGAAGTGCACTGCTGCCAGTGAATGGGCAACCAGTGAGAGAAGGGGGGGAGTTTCCCAGCACCCATGAAACACCTGTGCGGGCATATTTCAGTGGAAGAATCCTCCTAATCTAGAACTTCATCAGCTGCTACAAGAAGGAGCCTCAGGGCACAGTGGTTAAACTGCTGTACTACAGCCAAAGGTGTGCTTACTGGTCGCCGAAGAATTGATGCTTTTGAATTGTGGTGCTGGAGGAGACTCTTGAGCGTCCCCTGGACTGCAAGGAGATCAAACCAATCCATTCTAAAGGAAATCAAGCCTGAGTACTCACTGTAAGGACAGATCCTGAAGCTGAGGCTCCAGTACTTTGGCCATCTCATGAGAAGAGAAGATTCCCTGGAAAAGACCCTGATGTTGGGAAAGTGTGAAGGCAAGAGGAGAAGGGGACGACAGAGGACCAAACTCTGGGAGGCAGTGGAAGACAGGAGGGCCTGGTGTGCTCTGGTCCATGGGGTCACAAAGAGATGGACACAACAACTAAACAACAAAGCCAGCTCAAGGTTGACTCAGTCTTCTATCCTTTTGAGGCTAGTAAAATGAGTACCCAGCTTGCTGGGCACTCATTTTACTAAAAGTATGTAGCCTGTATAATTAACTGGTAAGCTGCCCAGAGAGTGCTTGAAGTGCTATGGGGCAATATATGAGCAGCACACTTTTTTGCTTTACTTTCTGATGGCTATAAAGAAGACAGATCTCATCTTGGACTGTCACTGTCTTTTCATCTGACCCCAAAGAGGTGAGGTTTAGAATGAATTTTAGACACACTGCAAGCCTTGTGAGGAGTCTCTAATATCCTGAATGAGCTTCATTTGTTGCTTATTTGCTCTAATGAGGAAAGAATCAAGTGGGAGCTTCTTCTCATCTTCCCTCCAGAATTTAAGGAGGGGGGTCACCTGCTCTGATGATAAGCTGCCATTGCTTGCTGTACATTAGTTCCTTTCTTAAATTTTAATGATCCTAAGTAAGTTTTGTCTTGGTTATTTAAGAAAGTCTCTATTTTATACTTAGTATCAACAGAACAGGAAATAATATCATGCACTCTTACACTGGAGTACAAAAAAATATAATAACTTTCTTACAGACAATTACAGATGGGGAAAAAAAGGAAGAACCACTCTTATCAGTTCATTTCTCTTCCTAACATTTTATGTTTTCTTTCATTCCCTCCCCAACCACTAGCTCCTCAGATACAGATTTACTAGCTCCGACGTATAAGACGACCCCCAGTTACCATTGCTCTCTTTGAATTGGCTTGTGACTTTAAAGCCCCAAAAATCTCATCTGAAAATACTGCAAGAGGAGGTACGATAAGAACCGTATTTGCCGGTGTATAAGGCGACTGGACGTATAAGACGACCCCCAACATTCCCACTCAGAATGTAGTTTGTTATATACTCGCTGTATAAGACTACCCCCTCTACCCCCTCTTCCGCATGCGTGATTCTGCTTTAGCTGTATCATGGGGAGAGTTCCTTTTGCCCCTTTTGGTTCCTTTTCAGAGAGAGCCAGGGTTTGCTGGAAGAAGGAACAGCAGAGAGGCGGCAGCCATTTTAGAGAGGTGGCAGCCATTTTGAGAGGCAGCAGCCATGTGTTCACATCTCAAAATGGCTGCCTCCTCTCTGCTGTTCCCGACAGTCAGCTGTTCGGCACTAGAGTCAGGCTGTTCCCAGGCTAAGAGCGGGGCTCTACTCAGTCTTACTACCAGGTAAGTGACTTCGCTGGGAGAGATGGAGGGTTTGCTGGACATGCAACCGGCGTACAAGACAACCCCCCCTTGGAGGCATGTTTTTCATCTTGTATGCCAGCAAATACGGTATAATATTTTATAGTCATCAGTGTTTGCAGTAAATCTGACACAGCTGCAAGATGAAACAATGAAAGCTCCCTGGAAAAGACATGACATGATGGAAAATATGGTTTTATATTGAATAATAAAGCATATCCTACACTCTCCCATTTCCCCATTCCCCTCTCATATTCTCACAATAATTTAATGGAAATGTATGATGAGAGTTACAGGTTGAAATGTTAGAATCATAGAAAAGTTCTAAAACGCAGGAAATGGCATGAAAGCTGAAGTCTTGTATACTTTTATTGGAAAGTAACTGTAACCAAAAACAGCAGAGATTACTGCTGTCTAAACATGCAGCACATCAGACAACATAGTAAACATGGTTTTTCAGCCTGTCACAACTTCAGAAAACTGGGTGAGTTTTCTAGAAAATATGTGTTCCATAGGAATATCTGAAACCTGGACAAGCAGGTGCCTTCTGAAGAGAGGGGGAGCCACAGAGGAAAGATCACCTCATGGGACTTGTTTCTTCCTAGTGATGGTAGGCTTTACCTATCATCTTCAGTATATTAAATAGTCTAACTGGACTTCAGTTATCGGAATGCCACAATAACATAGCTGAAGCAGCAGCAACATGACACAAGAGGAAAACCTGAGAAGTGAGTAGAAATAAACAAGGGGGAAAAAATTAAGACCTTATTTGGGGTTCGGGGGTCCCCGGCAGAAGCTCATGGACCATGGAGGAGAAGCACTTCATGCCAGCATTTTTGGAGGGAGGGCTATTCCAGGCACAAACCATAATGGTGTTCCACAAACTATATAAACTTTTCTGTTTTTGTTGTTGTTTTCCACATATGCGTAAATTTACAATGCTATGTTCAGGGTGGGCTACCCCCAGACCTATGGAATTTGCCCACCCTGAACATAGGATTTTTGGAGGACCATACTTCCTCTTGTGATCCCTGCACCATTTTTTCTCTTTGAACAATATTGGGCTTATAATGAAAACATCCTCTCATGTGGTTGTGTGTGTGTATGCCCACTAGAAAGTGTGAGGGGATGTTTTCATTAAAAACACAATTTTTCAAAGTTGTCTATATAAACAGGAAGAAGAGGGACAGGGCCCTGCCCTGCAATACAAGGCAAAATCCTGCCACACCCCCTATAAGGCAGAAGGGGACTTTGTGAGAGCAAAAATTAAATTAAAAAGTGAACCATGTAGGCATATGTGGGAAATGGCCTTTGTGCCTTTTGTGGGGTTTCCTACAAAAGGGCTGCACTTTGCTCCCATGTTTCAAAGCACACTCTCAGGAAACAGAAATTCTGTAAAACTGGGCAGCTATAACAGTGAAGGAGAAATCCGTACACATACACACAAACACAAACACATAGAAGTGTTTGCCCTCAGTTGCAGAATAGAAATCAGCTGAGGGAAGGTTTGTATGGAATTGCCTATTTCTCCCTTCTCAAATATTTTATAGTACTATGCTGAATGCACATGAGGGAGGGGGACAAGCACATTTGAACACCAACTTTCCAGTAAGACCTCCCTCCCTTCAGAACACATGAAGTGAATAAGGTTTTTTGCATCATTTTTATGACCCATGAGGAAAAAGTCATCTTGTTGAATTTTTCTGAATATTCTCCACCAGTTATGTTTTGTTTGTTTTCTCTCTCTCTCACTGTCTCTCTCCTTCCATGGCAGATACTATTTTGTTCTTGCTAAGCCACAAATGGATACCAGTTTCAGATCACTAAGGCTGAATGATGGCCAAGCTGCCAACACAGTGAACACATAGCACACAAACTATTCCTCCTAGGCAGGCAGGCAGAAATTGTGCTACTGTAATGCTTACTGGTTAGATGCAGTGAATGAGAAATCCTAAGGGAAGGGCCTCTGCTCTTTAGTTTTGGCTTGGAAGGTAAGAAAGCTGGGTAAGCATGAAGCTGTTATTTCCCCAGAAATCATAAACGGAGACCTTAATTACCTTGACTTGGGCAACTGTTTTGAATTTATGTGGAGGAACAGAAGGGCAAATTCTTTGCAATGATCATTATACATTATTTTTATATTCTTGTATTCTAAGATTTAAAATTTCACCTCTTCCAAATATTGGGTTTCTTGTACATTAAGCATTAGACTTAACAAGACCATGTTTTAGCAAAAATAACAATCTGAGCTCTAGATTTTGGAAGCCAAGAGATGTTGTGAGACATTTCTCCCATCAGCTCCCACAGCAGTGACTTTCTGATGTATAGAACTTTAGAGACATACATATGAGGTGTCTAAGCTTGAGAGGTATTTGAATTCATGGCTGTTGAAATGCTTGAGATATATGTTTGGATTGTTGCCAAAGGAAAAGTTGGAAGACTTATAATTGTGTTTGCCGTGTTTGCTCAGTATTCAGATCCCTGCAAAATGGTAAAGTACTTTCACTGATGATGAGTCTTAACGTTCAAGGAACTCTTTCTCTTTTGTACCCAGAGAAATGTTGTGAAACAATCCTTCTGAGTTATCTGCCTACAATAAGATGGGGAATTTCAAGAGGCTCTGCGTGCACAACTTCAGATAAAACTGAAAATGCAGAATGTTTTCAAATGGTAACTGTCTGTCTGATCATGGCCTAAGCAATTTTTAATTCCCAAACACTTCACTTTCCTTTGTTGTCTTTAATTATTTTGTCAGGTGATCATCTGTATGTAACCCAGGCCCCAGAAGTGAATTATTGGCAGACAAACTCATACTGACAATATTGTCAGAAGACTGATGTGAAGCTATTACATTCATGTTAATAATAATACGGGGGAAAAATCCCCAGTGCTCATTTTCAATGTGAATGTCATTTCCAATCAAACTGTAATATCACTAGTCCCTGCAGGTAAAGATTCTGAGTGAGGAGGGGAAACTTTGATACCATTTTCCAGTAATCCATGCATTTTAGAGAACCTGCATCTCTTCTGATGTCAGTCTGCTCTATTAGATGAACGGTCTAATTGTTTATGGACTAAAAAAAAACCAGCCTAGAAATGTGTTTCACTTTGCTTCATTAATTTAAAGGACTTCTTGGCTTGCCAACTTTTCTGTAAAAAAAAAGAAGGGCCCAGTGGAAGAAAAAGATAATGATATGAAGTTGATTCCAACTGTTATTCTCCATTAGCATAGACCAGTGATGGCGAACCTATGGCACGTGTGGCACAGCTGGCACATGGAGTCCTCTCTGTGGGCACACGAGCCATAAGTCACCATAGAGAAATACTTACCCGTCCTCTGATCCTGGATTTTGGCACTCCCCTCTGCTGGTGCAGTGGTCCAGCAAAGGGGTGCAATGGCGAACATTACTGGTCTAGCCCAATGGAGGATTGGAGGACCAGTAAGTATTTATTTGTTAATACCGCCCACAGGAAAAAACAACAACCAAGTATTTAACCCTTGCAGTGCAGGAACAGTTGTTTTTTCTAAACCAAAACCTCAGCATTCGGGTTTTAATTGCAGTATTGGCGCTTTGTAATAAATAAGTTGATTTTGTGTTGCAGTTTGGGCACTCAGGCTCAAAAAGGTTCACCATCACTGGCATAGACCCATTGAATCTATGTGGCTTGTACCAGTCTCAACAAGCCCCATTCATTTAGTGGAGTTAGTCAAACTAGAACTAACTATTGGATTAAGCCTGTTACTGTCATTACCGTTATTATTGCCACCACCGTTTCTGCCACTAGCAATTTTTTTAAAAGCAGAACTTAGTGAAGTAATTTTGAATTGCTGTGGATGCCTGGTCCCTTTATTTCATGCACCCATACCATGAGAAACCAGATTGCTGAGTGCTGTCTCAGCACACGTGTACTACTCTGAAACCTAGTACATTTCCTGTAAAGTGAATCAGGGCTATCTGTCAGGTTGCTGTTACATCCACTTCTGTGTATCACTTCATCACCCGGCATGGAAATCCAAGGACAGGCTTATGCACTGGACAAGCCACATCAGACAACAAAAGCATTTTTTGCTTCTACTCTATTTTTCAAGCTCCACCTCAGCTGCAGTCTTTGGAAAGAACATAAATTAATAAGTTCATAAATAAATAAAAAGCAAAACGTGGTACCCATAATTGCTGCTCCTTTCTTTACCCCCTAATTATACATGAAGCATCATGTGAGCAACCTACGCTGAGTTTAGGCACTTTGAGGAGCCTCGTGGTATGGTGGTTAAACTGCAGTACTGCAGTCAAAACTCTGTTCACAACCCTGCTCAATCCTAGATAGCTGGCTCCAAGTTCACTCAGGTAAATTGAATAGCCAGACTACTGGGGCTGGTGTTAAAGTGTAACCTGCATAATTAAATTGTAAACTGCCCAGAGGGTGATTTAAGCACTATGGGCCAGTATATAAGCAGCCTGCGTAGCTTTAGCTGCATTCCAGCTAGGTGCCATTTCAGTATGAGGGCTGCCCCCGATCGGTACCTTTCTTCATGGAGATGAGTTTGTTAATTGGGCAGCTGGCAAGAAAGAGGTTGAGAAACATGTTGTGCCTGGGAAGCAGAAAAAGGATGGGTAACTTCTAACATGGACCTGGTTTGAAAAATAAGCCATGAGATGCTCAGGTTTTTGAGAAATGACTACGCTCCATTCCAATCTGTGTCAGGGTAGGAAAAATACATCCATCACAAGACAGGGATCTGATGCAAAATTGCACCAGAAAAGGTTTGTACAAAATTGAAAGGAAGGTTTGTAACAAGAGGAGATAACAAAACAGAGTTGACAAGCGTTTGGAAGGTTGCCATGGTTAAAAGATAGTTTTCAAAATGTTTAGCAATGTTGTGTGGAAATGTGTGTTAAGTATTATATTCTTCCTTTTAAAAACAGTTTAAGAAAGTGTTTAATTATGATCCTTTTCTTATGGTCCTTTACAGAAAGCTTATAAGTCATCCTCTGAGAGGCAAGAGGGAAGACACAGGTTAGGATTTACTATTAAACAGTGAAAAGATGAAGTGTTGCTTATGGTTGTCAAAGTGTTTATGTGGTGTGTGCTGCTTCCATTGTGTTCAGTTGCAGACTTCATTTTAAATGAAGCTTAAACATGGACATTATTGTTCCCTGCTGGCTGCATGTATTCCTTTCTAAAACACATTTCTTCTTTTTCACAATTCAGCATTGGAGTATGTTTTTCAAGATATGGAAGTCTTCGTTGTTCAAGGCCACGAGGGTTTCATATTCCAAACTATTTCAATTACCTGGATATAAATCTCAGTTGCAGTAGCCATAGAATCAGCTATGGAACCTTCAGGCAGCAGGGGAGAAGAACTGAATGTGATCATGTGATGGAAGGAGAAAGAGGATGACCCGCCTCTCAAAAAATTGCCCCCCACACATTTCACATTCTCGCCATTTGCATTCAAAAGGCATTAAAGCAGATGATGATCCAAAAAACCAAAAAAACAGTCTTGATGAGATTGCTTGTAAAATGATGCAATCTGACACATCCATAGGGCGTAGGAACCAGAACACACATTTCTACACAGCATTACTAAATATTCTGAAATATGTCTTTTAACCATCCAAACCTTCCAAATGCTTGCCAATAATTTATGTTCTCTCCTTGGTACAAAAGGCGGAAGGGCCTTTTGTTATGGTCGGTCAAATAGGTTCCACCATTCTAATTCTCAAAAGTCTGGTTTTGGTTATCAAACTGAGACTGTGTAGAGAGATAAATAACTTGAGATCTGGCATCAGTTATCTCTTCAAAGAAGTCTGAAATTATGAAATTCCATGCTGGTCTGATTTTTTTTTTAAAAAAGCACAAATACTGCAAATGTAAAGATGCTAAAAATGGACCCATTTGCCCGTTTACTTCAGGTTTTGTACAGAAATGTAATATGTTCAATTATTTTAAAAACTTCTAAAGTTTTAGAGTTGAGAGCTCCTACCATTGGATCACACATTACACAGCCAGTCATCCCCTCTTTCCTGCAGGTTCCTCCATATTCTAAAAAAAAAAATCTCAGCAGGGCTGTGAAACAAACTCCCTTGAATAATTTTCTAGTGCTGCCAAGGAGATGGAAAGAAGAAGAAAGGCTTGATGCTACCACTGATATCACACTGGATTCAGTCCCAGGAAACCAAATGCTTTAAGAGTGGTGCCCCACAGAGCTTAAACTCTCACACTTTGGAAGTAAAATGTTTGTTACTTTTTAGGAAGTTTGGAAAACAAGTAAAATTGCTGCCAACACTGTACGGTCTCTTTTGTTTCATTGCATGCTTTTTGTCTCGTGACTCCTTATATTACTCGCCCATTACCCTAACCGTACATAACAGGGACTATCTTTACCTGCAACTTGACATACAGGCATGACATACAGTCTCTCATTAACTACATTTCGATCTATATGCTCATGCTCAATTAATTTTGTGGTTAACCCAGATTTGAAAACAGAGAGGTGTTTTTTTTTTAATGGAAGTAGTGGATGGTGTCAAGTGCTGGATTTATTTACGGCAGCAGGAAAAGATTAGATCTGGTAGAAGTGCCAGATGGAGAATGCATGTCATTTGCTGTACTACTGCATAATCATGATTGAATGGCAATATTTGCAGTTACCACACCTTTTACTGTTTATCTAAGGGGCCATCGGGTTTAAATGTGTCAGCATTTCCTGTGTTGTTTGCTGGAGATGAATCTAAACCAGGTACTGTATCAGCAGTTTAAAACTGGTTAATGGAATGTTTAAATTTTAGACTTTGTTCTAGAGCAGCGGTCCCCAACTGTTTTCGGTCCACGGACCAGCTGGGGAAGGCGGGGCACCCTCTGCGCTCGTGCATATGCGTGAACAAGTGCATGCTCTCTCTCGCATTAGTGCAGGTACCTGTGCGAGTGCCATGCCATGCGTGCATGCATGCATGTGCAGTTCTGCGCATGCATAAATGGTGCCACATCACGCGCATAGGTGTTGGTGCACTTGTGCACATGCGCAGTGGCATGGCACTTGTCTGGGCATGTGTGCTCGTGCACATGCGCAAATGGCGGCTTGGCGCTTGCACAGACATGCTGGAGCGTGCACGCAGGAGGAAATGGGCTGTGCAGGGGTGACTGCGTGCGGGGGGGGTGGGCGGGAGGTCTGTCTTGATGGCCTGTCCGTCTCAGGCCACGGACCAGCACCGGGCCGCTGACCAGGGGCTGGGGACCTCTGTTCTAGAATCTAGAGGGATGCTGTGCCTAACTTCTTGTTCCTGCCACAGCACTAACTGGGAGCTTTCTTTGTGAACAGAAAGACCAGCAACACCAGGCCTAGCTAGGCCTGAAAGCCTTCCAGTTGCCTTCCTCCCAAATGAGTCCCTTGTCTGTCTGTTAGGTGGAACTCCCAGAATTGAGAATTATGGGATTTGTAGTCCAAGAAATATTTAAAACTCCCATCTCTGCAGTTTACCCACTCCTGCACTACTCAAAGATGGCTCACTAGAAAATAAATGTCCACTGTTACATGAGATCACTAATGGTCTTCTTTACATGGTTGCTATAAATATATTTATCAAGAAAATAAATAGGTGTGGTCATGTGTGGCTTAGTCTATTTTTGATCCATTTTGATTTCCCATGTCTGTCCTTTTCCTCATCTACCTCTTTTCCACAGTAATCTGCAATAAAGAAAAAAAGAAAATCTGCACCCAAAATCCACACATTTAAGTATATATTTCAGATTTTCTCACAATATATGAATTGGAAAAAAAATATTTTAAAAGTTTTTTTCTCTTCTAAATATGCCGTAACTTAAAATACACCATTTTTTAATACACATCAGGGTACATGCTTCAAGCTAAGCACTGCATTGCAACATTTTGTGTTCCATTCCAAATATTACTCTAGAACATGTTGATCAAGTCAATTCATTTCAGAATGCAGGCTATGCAAAATCCTTGAACTTTTTTTTTTACTAGTCACCCATCTTGATAATGAACTTCAGGTGGAAAATAAACCTCCACAAACCCAAGCCCCGCTCATTAGATGCTAATTTTAGATACTGGGAGGGGGTTGTAGAGGTGAAAATAAAGGATTGGAGTTATTCAGTGGCATAGGAATCAATGCATGTTTTAGTTGGTCTGATTTCCTCTTTCGTCCTCCAGTTTTATGGTTACAACGCATTTTTATATGTGGCATGCTGCCATTGTCTGACCACAATATCATTCAAATTATATTTTAAAATAATGCATTTCAGCATTATTATCACCTTATAACTGTCTCTAGAGTTAAAACTTGGATGTGGGTGCTAAATAAAATTGTGACATAATGTTCTCCATGCTTCAAAGCAAATAGTGTACGAAACTTTTTTTTCATTTTATTTTATTATTTTTATTTTATTTTTGGACCTGTATCTCTTTTGCAAGTTTTACAGTGTGAAAAAGCAGCTTCACCTTCTGAGTCTCTCCTCTCCTATCCCACTGACTGAGTTAAATTCACTTTGGTAACCAGGAGAAGATCCCACTAAAGGACTCATCCGACATGAATCACAGGCCTAATTATGGCAGTGTCAGCACTCTGTTAAACTTGTAGAAACATTTATTTTCATGTCTAGTTACATCTCTGCAATAATTACTGAGAGTTGCCAATGCTTCTTATGTAAGCATTGACCATAAATTATCCTCAGCCCATGCATTTTTTGAAGACTGGAGGCAAGGTAGCTGGCAGGTTTAATTTACCGGCCCTGTTGTCATTAGTGCGAGTAAAGTGGGAGGCAAGGTGAGAAGAGGGTCAAGGCTAAATTCTTCATAAGCTGAGAATCTGCCCACAACTGTAACAGATGATTACTCATCTTGCACAATCATTTTGACAGCCTCTTACCATGAGTGACATCTACTGGAAATTGGAAGCAAACAATAACATTTAAAGGCTGGGTTATCTTTTGCCATGATGTCCAGCCATCTCCACTGAGCAGATCAACAGATTACTGGAGCAAAATATATGTAATTGTGACGTCGCCCCTCGTGCCCCTTGCTTGACCTTCAAGCCCCAGAGCACACGAAGGCAAACACACCTCACTCTTTACACTTGCTGACACCAGGTGATCTCTAAATCACCATTTACTTCAGAAAGATCCAGGTCCACACTTCAATTTCTTTAAAATAAAACTTTGGTTTATTGATTACAGAGATTCATAAACATATTCAGTAGCTAATCACCTTAAATTTCCCAAACTACACACTCTATTACTCTCTAAACTCCCTTAATCTCACACTCTGACTTAAAACTGACTCTCTGACTCTCTGACTCCACCTCTTATAGCAGCTCTCTTGACTCCGCCTTTCAGCAATATGAATATTCATATTCATCAACCATTACATAATGCAACAAGAATATATATATATATATTCCTCTGAGATGGGATTAACAAAAGAACAAGTCTTCAGAACAAGTCAATTTAACCCTAAAATGTCAAACAAGAGCTTCCCTTTTCTGTTCCTCCTTCTCCTCTTCCTCATTACTTATTATTATGCTGACAGGTCCTGCTCATACAGACTTGTACCACAGCCCCACAGTATGAAGCCAAAATGCACTAGTGAGGGAAAGGGAAATAACTCATAAAGATTTTAAAATGGAATTCATTTGAATCTCATAAATGGGTAAATGAAATTTGATATGACTAGACAAGTGGACAAAAAGGTGAAGCATTGCTACCACTGCAAGCTTCAATATTAAGGGTGCCACCCCTCTCCCTTACTCAGACAGGGGTCTTACACTGTCCCCTTAACACCCAGCAGAATGACAACCAGGTGGAAAGGCCTTTTGCCCAGATATGTGGATGACCGGGGCAAGATCCCACTAAAAGACTTATCCCACAAGAACGACAGGCTTAATTAGGGAATGTCAACACTGTTAAACTTGTGGAAACATTATCATCTCTAGTTACATCCCTGCAACAATTAAGAAGAATTGAAAGTGCTTCTGTTTGGCAGTGTCACATGGCTAGTATAGAAGCAGGGAATGGAGAGCTTATACAGTAAACCTGTCCTGCCAATAAGGCAGACATCTTCCACTGGGCATGCCAGTAGGTATAATGTTTATAGGCCCAGAAGTTGGTCTGGAAGAGGCTGGTGGTGCATAAGGCCAAGCAGGAAAGATGTTCATTGGCTGGTTGATACCAAGGAAACTTGCAATAGTCAGCAGCATCTTGCTGGCACTACAGGCTGCATGGGCTGTGTGGACCCAGGGAAATCTTCTGTCAGGGTAGCTATGCCATGGGCAGGGCTGGTGCCCAGGTCCTTGGGCTTTGGCCTTAACTCCAGGAGGCAGTACTGGCTTTCATTGCAGCAGGCTACCTGAACATGGGTGGCTTTGCAGTTCGTGCCTCTCCAATTTTTGACTGGGTGCCTGTGACTGGGCAGTTGCTGTAGGGCCCAGTGGAGTCTGGGGAAGACTGTTTACCCTGCTTTTTTTCTAGCACCGATTGATGCCATTCATGGGGAGGATGTTGACTGGCTGTTTACTTCTTTTTCTTTTGGCCAAGGTACTGTTAGGCAGTTTGGGGTCTGGGAACTGAGGGACTGGTAGCAGCAGCAGAGCAGGAAAGCAATTGGTGGGGGTGGCTAGATAGGTACAGGCCTAGTACTCTGTTACACATTCCCATTTGCAAATGACTAGTGCATTGCCAGCAGGATGCAATTGTTCTCACCATCTCTGGCACTATCAGCAAGTAGGTGTGGCTCTCAGGAAAGGTGCTGACAAGGAAATGGATGAATAGTAGGTTAAGTGGCCTGCCAAGAAGCATGACCCCCCCTTCCCTGCCTTCTCCTCTTCTTCTGAGGATGATGGCCTTCCTAGCTTTACTCTTATGCTGAATAGGTTGGAGACACTCAACAAGGGATGTGGGTACTCTCAAGCTAACTTTCTCCTGGAGGCTAAAAAGTGGCTTACCAGGGAGACCAATGCTGACAAGTTGGCTGATTTAGGAAAAGTGACTTGTGTTCCAACTTTATTCTTTAGAGAAGGAGCAAGGTACCAAA